CACCAGATCTAATTAGTGGCACTTGTCAGCGTATCCACTGTTAGCTTAAAACACCCGCTTTAAGGACACTGACTGCTATTCAATCTATAACAGTGAAAAAAATTTTTTGTTTTTAAATCCAAGCTATTGTGTCACCAGATCTAAGTGGTGGCACTGGTCACCGTATCCACTGTTAGCGTAACACACCCGCTTTAAGGACACCTACTGCTATTCAATCTATAACAGTGAAAAGAGTTTTTTGTTTTTAAATCCAAGCTATTGTGACACCAGATCTAAGTGGTGGCACTGGTCACCGTGATCCACCGTTAGCGAACACACCCGCTTTAAGGACACCTGACCAAGTATTCAATCTATAACAGTGAAAAAGTTTTTTGTTTTTAAATCCAAGCTATTGTGACACCAGATGTAATTGGTGGCACTGACTGGGGAAATGGGCACAGTATGCACTGTGAGCCTGACACAGAAGCTGGCAGCAGTGGCAGACAACTGACTGCTATTCAATCTATAACAGTGAAAAAAGTTTTTTGTTTTTAAATCCAAGCTATTGTGACACCAGATGTAATTGGTGGCACTGACTGGGGAAATGGGCACTGTGAGCCTGACACAGAAGCTGGCAGCAGTGGCAGACAACCAAGTGCATTTACATTAGATAGAAAAAAAAAATCCAAAAAAAGCATACCCTTATCCCTAACCTAGCTATGCTTTTCCCTATCTTATGAACAGCAGCTACACTTTCCCTCCTCTTACTAAGCATGCAGCTTGAGAATGAATCTAAAATGGATGCTGTCCAGTAGGTGGGAGGGTCTGCTAGGGAGGCTGTGCTGCTAATTGGCTGGAATGTGTCTGCTGACTGTGAGGTACAGGGTCAAAGTTTACTCAATGATGACGAATAGGGGGCGGGTCGAACCGCGCATATGTTCGCCCGCCGTGGCGAACGCGAACATGCTATGTTCGCCAGGAACCGTTCGCCAGCGAACCGTTCGGTACATCACTACTGGGTGGTGATGCTGTGGGTGATCTGGTGTTGGTAGGATGAACGGTGGTTATTTTCCACTCCTTGAGCAGTTTCATGCCGTCTTCTGGTGTGAAAATGACTCGGTCCACTCCATCCTCTTCATTATGAGTTTCGTCGGGAATCCCCATTTGTACTGCATGGTTGCGGCGCGCAGTGCTGTGGTAATAGGAGAGAATGCTCTCCTTTTGTACATGGTAGCTGCGGAGAGGTCAATAAACAACTTTATTTCCGCGAAAGGATCTGGAAATGGTGTGGTAGCGGTGCGGGACGCTTGCATGATCTGGTCTTTCACTGTAAAATAATGGACTCTGGTTCTTAATAATGTCCCTGGGGGTAGTAGGTGGTAGGTGTCTAGGTTTTGGTAGGCGGTGGGTATGGTCCAAATGGAGGTCTTCGGTCTCCAGTGCCGGAATGAGTTCTCTGAACATGTTCTGTACAAATTTGGTAAGGTCTTGTGGGCCTATGGTTTCAGGAACTCCTCTCAGCCTGATGTTGTTTAGCCGATCTCGGTCTTTGTTATCCGTTATTTTCCCTTCTAAAAAGTTGACTTTCATTTGGAGCGCTGTGTGAGCTTCAGCCAGCTCATTGTGTGCCTCCATGAGACCCTCTGCTTTCTCCTCGAGGTGAGCAGTCCTGTCTCCTAGGGCTTTTATGTCCGCCCTTATGTCGGCCGCCATTTTAGAGAAGTCCGCTCTCAAACTAGCTTGCAGTGAGTGCAGCATGGCCCCCACGGACGCATCGGTAGCAGGTTGTATACTGGGGGTTTTCAGTATGTCCTGACTGTCCCCTATTTCGGGGTCTGACCTGGGGTCGTTGATCTGTCGGCGCCATCTTGGTCGCTGTTGTACTCCCTGTGCTGCTTTTGCAGATGAGAATGCAGCTCTTTTTGCTTAAGTTTTTTATTCAATTTATTGTACATCTTGTCCCCTGTGGTCTCGTTAGCACCGAGTTTTGTTTGCTTGTCGGTATCGCTGTGTTACACGCTGTGCCGTCCACAATTTAGTGCAGCTCGCGGTTTATGCAACTGCTTCCATGCTCTGTCAGGCCACGTCCCCATGCCTTTTTTTAGAGAAATGGCAAGCCTAAGTTTTTATTTAGAGGCACAGCTTTATATAGAGGCATATGCATGTCTGTATCTCTATGTTTCTGTGTTCTTCAATTTTTTAAAGCAAAGGTAGAATACAATCCATTGAAAAACTGTGGTGCAGGCTGTGAAAAGTGCTGCCACTCCAATACCACCCAGAGGGAAGTACTTTTCATCTCTTAAACAACAGTATAAAAAATTTAACTATGTTACTACTGTGTAACCATATAACCATGTAACCAAGGGCAGCACTTTTCATGTCTTGCACAATACTATAAATATATATATATATATATATATATATATATATATATATATTTTTTTTTTAATATACAAAACAGTGCCCTAATTTAGTATCCTATGAAGGGGAACTCCACATCAGAGGGTACCATATTAGGGTAGCCATCCACTAAAGAGCACCCTAATTTTGTATCCTGAATGGAGAAATACCACAAGAGGACAAAGTCTTAAATTAGAGGGACAAAGGTTTAAAAATAATATCAGGAAGTATTACTTTACTGAGAGGGTAGTGGATGCATGGAATAGCCTTCCAGCTGAAGTGGTAGAGGTTAACACAGTAAATGAGTTTAAGCATGCGTGGGATAGGCATAAGGCTATACTAACTATAAGATAAGGCCAGGGACTAATGAAAGTATTTAGAAAATTGGGCAGACTAGATGGGCCGAATGGTTCTTATCTGCCGTCACATTCTATGTTTCTATGTTTCTACTGGATAGATCTGAAAGATGACCTTTACCCCTTTCTCTAACACCATGCTCAGTCCAGGAAGGAACTAAGGGATGCCCATTCACCTGATCCCAGTTATGACATCACCACCTACTAACCCAGTCAACTCTCTTCTTGTACATCTACCCTCCCATTCAAATGAAAATATGCTTAATTATTATATCTTTAAGGGGTGGAAAAGAATATAAATAATTTTTAATAATAATAATAATTTTTAACTTACATTTTTGTGCAATGGAAATAAAAATACATTTTTAAAAAAGGAATAAAAAATAAAATATGAAATTATGTCATACCATTGGAATGTTGTGATCCTTTTCATGTACATGAATATAAAATAGGAGGGGTCTATATGATATGGACTCTTTAGATTATCAGAGTGTTCCATCTATTTATATGGTAATTTTCAAATAAAAATTTTGTACAAAAGTAAAAAGATATGCCACCTATAAAATGATCTATTAGTTTGAATGACAGTTTAACTAACTGCAGTAATAACTCAAGAGCTTGTTTCATAGAACATGACATAGAACAGCAGGGAAATTGCTGTTCAAAAGTGAAGAAGGCTGAACTTGATGGACACATCTCTTTTCAGCCTATGTAACTATGTAAACTGGAAACAGCAATGATGTGACAAGTAACAGACCATTTGCTATTCAAGGCCTGTAGTCTTTGTAGGTGTCAGAACTCTCAGAGACAGGCCAGATATCTTTAGTATTAGTTGTTAATTCTCCCTGCCTTGATGTGCCAAAATTTCTTGTCAGGTTAACCTCAAGTATGTTAAATATCTGAAATTTGTTCATTAACTGTCATTTACAAATGCTATCTCTTTTACCTCTCTCTCTTAGTGTGGTCCAAAGTCTCTCTAATGACACAAATTTTTCACCTTCAGAGACTGCAGGCCTATAATAATATATGACCTACAATTGTTACTGAGAGGACAGTAACGGATCAAAATAACTACCCTTTTCTTACTGTATCTCATTTACCATTGGCAATCTTTGTATCATATTGAACAACTTTACTCAAGGGAGAGGCTTCACTGCTATTTGTACTTTATGTATGAAGAAAGGACATATGTTTTCTGGTACTCTTGTAATATAAAATAACTACTTAGTTAATAGACATGTGCATTCCTATCTTTAAGAATTACAAAATTACCCAAAAATGTAAGTTTTTGGTAGTTTAGTCAGAAAAAGATTAACCCCTTAAGGACTGGACTGTTTTTGCGATGTTGTATATTTGCGACCAGGCATATTTTTACACTTTTGTGGTGTTTGTGTTTTTCTGTAATTTTCCGCTTTCTCATTTACTGTTCCCATACAAATTATATATTGTTTTTTTCCGGACAAAAGGGGCTTTCTTTACATACCATTATTTATATAATCTCATGTATTTTAATTTAAAAAAAATACATGTTTTTTGACTTTTACTTGAAAAATCTTTTACTCATCTACAAAAGCGAATAAAAAAAACTGCTAAATAGATTCAAAATTTTGTCCTGAGTTTAAAAATACCCAGTGTTTACGTGCTTTTTTGCTTTTTTTTTGCATGTTATAGGGCTATAGGTACAAGTAGGATATTGTGGTTTCAAAACATACATTTTTTAAATTTATCAATAGTGACATTGTAACACTATTATCTGTCATAAATCTCTGAATAACACCCCACATGTACATATTTTTTTTTAAAGTAGACAACCCAGGGTATTCAATATGGGGTATGTCCAGTCTTTTTTAGTAGCCACTTAGTCGAAAACACTGGCCAAAGTAAGCATTCATATTTGTTTGTGTGTGAAAAAAGTAAAAAAACTAAATTGAACGCTAATTTTGGCCAGTGTTTGTGACCAAGTGGTTACTAAAAAAGACTGGACATACCCCATTTGCAATACCTTGGGTTGTCTTCTTTTGCAAATGGTATGCCATCATGGGGGTAATTCTCATTCCTGGGCTACCATACGCTCTCAAAGGCAACGTAACCAACCTGGCCATTTTCAATGTAAAAATATTTGACCCATATATTTGACCTTGTAACTTTCAAAAATGCTATAAGACCTGTACATGGGGGGTACTGTTTTACTCGGGAGACATCGCTGAACACAAATATTAGTGTTTAAAAACTGGAAAACGTATCACAACAATTATATCATCAGTAAAAGTGCTGTTTGTGTGTGAAAAATGCAAAAAAAAGTAATTTTCACTGACAATATCATCGCTGTGATATGTTTTACTGTTTTGAATCACTAATATTTGTGTTCAGCGAAGTCTCCCGTGTAAAACAGTACCCCCCATGTACAGGTTTTAGGGTGTCGTAGAACGTTACAGGGTAAAATACAATGCTAGCTAATTAAATTCTCTGGAATTTCGGCCTGGGTTGGCAGGCAGGTCCCTCAAATTGCAATCAATAAAATTACTGAATTATGTAAAAATATTACATAAATATGCACGTAGAATTTAAATATATATGCATATTTATATAGTTTAAGTCTACGTGTATATTTATATAATTATTTATGTAATTTTGTATATGGACATATGTATATTTCGTATTATTTTTATTTATTTATATATACATAGATATATATATACAAATTCATTCTAAGTGTATTTTGATATAAATATATATATATATATATTAATTTTAAAATACAGTTAGAATAAAATTTCATATAGATATATAATTTTTTTTACATTTTTATTATTATTTTAAAAGAAATTATTTAATTTAAATTACTTATTTATATTTTATAATAATATATATATACAATATATATAGTTATTATATATATTATATATATACGTGTGTAATTTAATTATAAGTGTATTTTTATATTAATATAAGTACATATTAATATAAAAATACACTTAGTATGGCATTATATATATGATATATAGACATATATTATATAGATATAATATATGTCTATATATCATTTATACACATATATAATTATTATTATTTTTTTAATTAACACTAACTTTATTTATTTTTTGATTTTACACTAGCAGGGAGACTGCCTGTCAGCACAGGCAGTCCCCCTGCAGGCAGACACATGGACACCTATTGTGACCATGTGATCGCTGTGTTAAGCGATCACATGGCCACAGGGGTCCTAATTCAGTGTGGGGAGACTGTCTGGGCTGCAGGCAGTCTCCCCACAACCGGAGCAACGCTGATCGCCGCCGGGGGAACGACGGCGATCAGGTAAGTACCTCTGACCGTTAGGACAGTTCAGGACCGTCATCGGTCGGCAAGCCAAAAATGCCGATGACGGTCCTGAACCATCCTCGGTCGGGAAGGGGTTAAAAAGCTGCCAATGACAGAATGGCTCACAGGCTATGTTAATTTGGTCATTCCAGGAAGCAGTCACTGATTGTTCACTGTTTAGCAAATATTCCCCTGTAGATTATTATTATTCTTCTTCTTCTTCTTCTTATTATTATTATTATTATTATTTATCTAGCACCAACATAATTTGCAGCACTTTAGATTATAAAACGGGTATTTGCCAAGTAATTTACATACAGAATATTACATAGATAAGAGGTAAAGAAGGCTTAAATGAGCTTACATCCATGAAGTAGGGGTAAAGGCACACAAGAGAAATAAAAGCATGTCAGAGAGGAGGAGGGATTTATGGATAAGATACCTGTGTTGAAATATGCTGATAAACATGGTATGTGGAAGAAATTAACAGTGGCAGGAGAATGTGGGGCTACGGAGGTGCGGGAAGTGATGAGGTCAGTGAAATGAGAAAAGCATCACCCAGGAATAAGGTAAGCTTACCTGAAGAGGTGTGTTTTCAGTGACTAATTTAAGGAATGGAGGCTAGTTGAGAGTCTGATGGCATGGGGTAGCACATTCCAAAGGAACAGGGCAGCCTTGCAGGTGATAATTGGCAATTTGGGAACAAGCAGATATCTAGAGAATGTAATTTGCAGCGCAACTGAAAAGAAAAGGGGTATATTTATTGCATAAAGAGAAAATGTATTAAGGAGTGGAGTTAGTGAGGGCTTTGTAGATGTCATACCTCCTCCTGGCCCGTGTTGCTCTGGTCCTTCCCTCTGTCCTGTCCTGCCGTGCTCTGTGGACTCCCGGCCAACGGCGTTCTGTTGCTGGTTTGGGGGCGTGCGGTTTGTCTCCAGCTTCTTAAAGTGAAAGTACGTTTTTTTACCTGTGAACTGGTACTCTATTTAAATACTACCTTATTGTGTTTCCTAGCCTTTCAGCTCTCACTTAGCCCTATTTATACCTCCCTCTTACATCACTTCCTTGCCCTGTCGTGGTCTCTTCTAGCTTGAGAGTGTGTTCTGTTAGATTGTCTTTTTTGGTATCTGACTACGGCTTGTTTTCTGGTTATCCGTATTTCTGGCATCCTTGACCCTTGGCTTTGTTATAAACTTGTTCTTCCGTCTCCTATCCTGACCTTGGCTTGTCTGACCTTTCTATTCTCATTGTTACGGTTGCCTCCAGGCTGGCTGGAAGTTGGACCGTAGAAAGGATGCTCCTACCGCTCACCAAAGGACCATCAGCACCGTAGACACTATAAGCACTGCAGACTCCACGAACCGCCACTGCTGGGCTGGGATCTTGCTGTTTACTATCCACCCTGGACCTACGACCAGGCTCCAGGTTCCAGTAGGTGAACCTCTTCCTTCTGTAGAGCGAAGCAGGATCAGGAACAAGAGCTCTTACAAGAGCCCAGTAGCTAATGGAGTATGAAGAGCATAGCAATCCCTGTAGTGATTATAGCTGTCCCCTACAAACATGAGTTGAGACTGCAAGTTAGAGGGTCAAGTCATTCTGTTTAATTGGCACCAAAGAGCCTTCTTTTATGGAGGTTTTCCTTACATAGAACCACCCACAGGGTTTTACAGAACAACCAATAACACACGTACATTACAGAAAACACTCCCAGCAATTACACACAAAATCCTCCCCTCTTCCTGTGATATAATTATGGTACACAATGGTTAAAGGACCACTCTAGGCACCCAGACCACTTCAGCTTAATGAAGTGGTCTGGGTGCCAGGTCCAGCTAGGGTTAACCCATTTTTTCATAAACATAGCAGTTTCAGAGAAACTGCTATGTTTATGAATGGGTTAAGCCTTCCCCTATTTCCTCTTGTGGCTGTCTCATTGACAGCCACTAGAGGCGCTTGCGTGCTTCTCACTGTGATTTTCACAGTGAGAGCACGCCAGCGTCCATAGGAAAGCATTATGATTGCTTTCCTATGTGACCGGCTGAATGCGCGCGCAGCTCTTGCCGTGCGTGTGCATTCAGCCGACAGGGAGGAGAAGAGGAGGATCGGAGGAGGAGAGCTCCCCGCCCAGCGCTGGAAAAAGGTAAGTTTTAACCCCTTTCCCCTTTCCAGAGCCGGGCGGGAGGGGGTCCCTGAGGGTGGGGGCACCCTCAGGGCACTATAGTGCCAGGAAAACGAGTATGTTTTCCCTGCACTATAGTGGTCCTTTAACATAATTATCACAGGCAGGGAAAATACAGTTTTTATACATGTACTATAACTTTAAAACCATCCAATATTCATAATAACCACATATTATTAATCAGCATCCTTTAAATATAAACATACTCAAAAATCATAAAAATCCGTTCAGTAGATCAAAAGTTAGACGGAAGTCCTTTATGACCGACCGCAAGCACATTTTCATGCCCAAAACAGTTCCATAAATTTGGGCTGTGCGGTCAATCTATTTCAGGCTGAAAAAATGACTAAGTCCCATCGCTGAAAGTTCAGTATGGGAGAAGGTACAGGTCAGCGGTGTTCACGGAAATGTGCCGCCGATTTTAGTTCCATGAATTTGGCTGCACACACCGCTGACTGTATTTGAATGAATAAAGATGGCGTCACTACATTCGTTTGCGCAAACAACGTCCACTCAGCGTTTGTCAATTTACCTAAAGCAGGCTCCACTCTCTTAAGGAATGCTTTTGGGGGGGCGTGGCTAATTGCCGGACGGAGTAGTCGCATGTAGTTAACGCTCCATGCTCCACCAGGCCCAAAGCGACAATCGAGCGGCTTACAGTAGCCAAAACTACTGTCAAAAGACTGCCTAACAATGAGGAGTTATCCCCCCACAACCCAATAGCATCATCAAAGCAAATTAAACTCACTGACCAGATGTGCCAAGGCCAAAAAGACAGCGCAAAGCAGGCCCAAGATGGCGACAACCTCACAGGACAAATATACAACCAAGAGGATTCCGCAGAGCAGAAGAGCATCCAGCAGGTGCCTGAGGACAGGGGGTGCTCGTAGCATTGGATGCTGAGAAGGCATTCGACTGACTGAACTGGGAATATTTGAAGTCCACACTGCTAAGAATGAGTTTCTCTCACACCTTCCTGGGGGGGAATCATGGCCCTATACCAATCACCTACCGCCAGGATCTTCAACACTGGGTTTTTCTCAAAATTAGCAATAGCACAAGGCAGGGATGCCCACTCTCCCCATTACTCTTCATTCTATGCCTGGAACCTTTGATACATCACATCAAAAAACACACTGAAATCGCAGGCCTCGATACACCGACAAGCCAACAAAAGCTCGCACTATTCGCGGACGACATTTTGTTGTTCCTAACCCAACCAGACAAATCAATCCCAGCACTCCTAACCCTACTAAACCACTACGGAACAATTTCCTACTATAAAAATAACACTAACAAAACACAGATACTACCAATAGGGCTCCCTGAAAGTATGCGACACACGCTCCAAACAGTGCACCCATTCAACTGGAGAAAAAAATCTCTGAAATATTTGGGGATAAAGCTGACTAGCTCGTACTCTAAACTCATACATGAGAATCATCTTCTCCTCGCACATAAGCTACAAACAACTGAGTCAATGGCACAATCTGGCAATTTCATGGCTGGGACGCCTTAACACCATTAAAATGATGGCCCTACCCCACCTACTATACCTATTTCGTACTCTCCCAATAGCACTACCAGACAAACTCCTCAGGAAAGTGTGGTTCTCATTAGAAACAGCGTGCATCCACCCCGACACAATTCCACAGAAACTTTGGTCTCCCTCACAGGACATACTCGCCCCCACAATTCGATTGCCCAACACCAAGTTCATGCACTCGAGCTGGAACAAATGGGCAG